TCACCATGTAGGAATGCTGTCTTGACATCTAGTTGTTCTAGATGTAAGCGCTCTGCAGCTACAATACTCAAAACCAATCTGATGGTGGTCATTTTCACCACTAGAGAAAAGATCTCATTGTAAYCAATCCCCTTTTTCTGTTGAAAACCCTTGACCACTAAACGGGCTCTGTACCGTTTAGATCCATCAGGCTCTTCCTTGATTCTGAAAACCCACTTGTTCTGCAACGCCTTTTTATCATGCGGAAGCTTGGTTAAAACCCAAGTTTTGTTCTTGTTCAGAGATCCCAGTTCTTCTTTCATTGCACGCTCCCACTGCAACGAATCCTTCTGCTTAATAGCTTCAGAATAACTTTCTGGTTCACCATTCTCAGTCAAAAGAAGATAATTGACTGATGGATTGTATTTTTCAGGAGGCCTAGAGACTCTGGTGGATCTCCTGACCCAATGTGATTCAACTGGTTGAGGATGTACCGGAGATGATGGTTCTTCTTCATCCTCTGAACTTTCGTTGTTGACAGTGTCTTCTTGAACATCTTCAGACTCATCATTATTCTGAAAATCAGACTCAGTACTCCCACTATCATGAGTATCTTCTGGCCCTCTGATTATGATGTCATCACTTTCAAACTCAACTTGTTCTTTCTGATCTTTTGAGTTTACTGTGCTTCTGTCTTTATTAAGTTCAGCCTCATTGAAAGTTGCATGTTTACTTCTGACTACTTTTCTGCTTTCAAAGTCCCAAAGCCTGTAGCCCATACTATCAGAGCCATATCCAATGAAGGTGTATTTCTTGGCTTTTGCATCCAACTTGTCACCATCTTTCTTCAAGTCATAGGCACTGCATCCGAACACCTTCAAATGCTCATACTTGATTGCTTTACCTTTCCACTCTTCCTCTGAAATCTTGAAGCCCAACGGTACTGATATTCCTCGATTGATAAGATAAGCTGCAGTGTTAACTGCATCAGCCCAGAACGTCTTTGGAAGCCCAACATTAAGCCTCATACTCCTGGCCCTCTCATTCAAAGTTCTGTTCATTCTTTCTGCCACTCCATTYTGCTGAGGAGTGCCTGGAACCGTCTTTATCATCCAAATGCCATGTTCAGCACAATAATCAGTGAACTCTGTGCTAATGTATTCCCCACCGTTATCCGRCTTCAAGCACTTTACTTTTAGGTTAGTTTCCAATTCAACAGCGGTTTTCCATTTCTTAAAAGCGTTGAAGACATCAAACTTATTTTTAAGAAAATAAACCCATACCTTGCGTGTTGAATCATCGATGAAGGTCACATAGTAGTTCGATCCTCCTACGGAAGAAACTGGTGTTGGTCCATAAACATCTGTGTGAACAAGCTCTAGTTTCTAAGCTTTTGGTGTCTGACCCGTCTTCGCAAAGGATACCTTCTTTTTCTTGCCAAGCACACAGGGTTCACAGAATTCAGAATCCACCCTTTTTAAATCTGGGAGCTTGCCTCTGGCAACGAGCATTTTCATTCCCTTTTCACTCATGTGGCCGAGTCGTTGATGCCACAATCTGGATGGTTTCATCCCRCTGGTCACTGCATTCACCTCACTGTCGGGAACATCGACCATGTATAAGGTGCCTTGCTTTTTGCCTTTGGCGATTACAAGGYTTTCTTTGACAACCTTCCATTGCCCTTCACCAAAAGTGACTTTGAATCCCTGGTCATCCAACTGCCCAGTAGAAATCAACATTTTCTTAAGGCTTGGAATGACTCGAACGTC